CACCGTCGTCACCATCGTCATCGCCGTCGCCGCCGTCGCCGCCGTCTTCATAGCTGTATAGCCAGCCAGCTGTATAGTCAGTCAGCTGTATAGTCCGCCAGCAGTATAGTCAGCCAGCTGTATAGTCAGCCAGCTGTATAGTCAGTCAGCTGTATAGTCAACCAGCTGTATAGTCAACCAGCTGTATAGTGAGTCAGCTGTATAGTCAGCCAGCTGTATAGTCAGCCAGCTGTAGTCAGTCAGCTGTATAGTCAGCCAGCTGTATAGTCAGCCAGCTGTATAGTCAGTCAGCTGTATAGTCAGCCAGCTGTATAGTCAGCCAGCTGTATAGTCAGCCAGCTGTATAGTCAGCCAGCTGTATAGTCAGTCGTCGCCGCCGTCATCGCTATATAGTCGGCCAGCACCTTGTTCTCGCACTGTGACTGTGTCATCGAGTCGTGGCTGTGCAGTGAACTACAAATAATAAAGAAGCCCTCCACAGTTCGTGTCTCCGAAGCCATTGCATTACACGCACATACGACCCACTGCGCTAACCACTGCGCCACCGCTCCACGGCCGCCTACAACGCAGGGATGAATGTTAATCCCCTGTATTAGAGGTAGGGCTGGGGGAAGGGGCAAAGTGGAGCACTTTCCTCGGCCGCTTTCGGTGATATCATCCGTCATGAGTCACCAACGTGTTTCTGACTGTTGGCGCACGTCTAAGTGCATTGTGTGCGTGCGCGCGCATCGATGATGTCGAGTCGCACAGAGTGAAGGGGTTACTCGATCGCATATTTATATATGCGACTCTAAACTAAACTGTGAAACTACTTTTTTTGTATGTCACCAGATCCACGCGACCACCATGGGGAGAGCGAAAGACACGCAAACTCCCCCATATACAGCAGGCATCGTCAAGGTCGGTATCGAACTCACGACCTCCTGTATACCAGGCGAGGGAGTTAACATCTAGCCATCGTTATGATGATTAGAAAGAGAGAGAGAGGGATACGCAAACTCCCAAATATACAGTAGTCATGGCCAGGGCCCACGACCTCCTGTATACCAGGCGAGGGAGTTAATATCTAGCCATCGTTATGATGATTAGAGAGAGGGATACGCAAACTGCCAAATATACAGTAGTCATGGCCAGGGCCCACGACCTCCTGTATACCAGGCGAGGGAGTTAACATCTAGCCATCGTTATGATGATTAGAGAGAGAGAGAGGGATACGCAAACTGCCAAATATACAGTAGTCATGGCCAGGGCCCACGACCTCCTGTATACCAGGCGAGGGAGTTAACATCTCCTAGCCACCGCGGAGTCCAATTGGGCATCTGTATGCAGGAAAACCCTTTTCCAAAACGAGGTTTTCACCGAGCGCGTGTTTTTAAGGCTCCACGCAATTTACCTAACGCGTTCTCTTTTCCACGCGGAATTGACGCCGCTGAGATTCGCGTCGAGAAGTGACGTCGCCAGAGTGCCGCATGACGTCGCAAGGTGTGAACGGCTCGACTGTGAGAACGATTTAGATTTAAAGCTTTCGTGACTGCAAGGATTCATCTTCTTTGGTTCTTTCGGTAAAGTCACGTAGAATGAGAATAAAATAATAAATTGATAAAATAAAATAACACAATAATATTCTCACGACGTTTCGGCCACAACACAAGCGGCCTTCATCAGGTGAAGGGGACGAGACTGTCTGGAGGACAGTCCTCCAGACAGTCTCGACAGTCCTCCAGACAATCTCGTCCCCTTCACCTGATGAAGGCCGCTTGTGTTGTGGCCGAAACGTCGTGAGAATATTATTGTGTTATTTTATTTTATCAATGTATTATTTTATTCTCATTCTACGTGACTTTACCGAAATAACCAAAGAAGATGTGAGAACGATCTCTTTTACCGCGTGTGTGCGCGCGTGTGTGTGTGCGCGTGTGTGTGTGTGTGCGTGTGTGTGTGCGTGTGTGTGTGTGCGCGTGTGTGTGTGTGCGCGTGCGTGTGTGTGTGCGTGTGTGTGTGCGCGTGTGTCCCGTTGCTTTTGCGTGCACGTCTTGTGAAGGCACAGGCTCGACCACGCTTCACGCACAGCGGGGTCCGCGCACGCATCTTTAGCCGCCCACTCGTCGAGGACGTGAGCGTCGTACGGACGCCGTGATGGCGAAACATTGACGCTCAAGCGACGGCGTCGCTGGGAATTCAGTGTCAGGGGCGAGCGTTGGGCGTGAGTGCCGCGGTGCGGGCAGAGTGATGGAGACGTGGGTCTGGTGTTGGGGTGAAATTGAAAAAAGAAGAGTGTAGGTGCACACTCACACACACACTGTTGCAGTGGTTTTCACTCTTTTTTTCCGAGTGCGGGGAGGAGGGGTACGAGCCGCTTTTGCAGATAAGACGTCCTTCAGTGCGAATGCCGCCACATATTTTGAAACCATTGTTGGGTTTGTCGGCAGCACGATGATGGTAGCGGGGGGGGGGGGCTGTCACCATTTGTGTTTTGTGTCGGGGGGCAGCACCAAAAGGCCACCAGTGCCTCGCGGGGCCCTGCGATGAGGAACGCTGCTTCATTACGACAACAGGGGAGGGACATCGTTAGACAAAGAAGGAGGGGGGGTGATCATTTCTGTCCCCAGGAACGCAACCCTATGTTTCCCACGAGGTCTATTGTTCGTTGAACGCGGTTTTGCCCGACACGGCATTTTGCAGGAACGCAATTAAAGCGTTCGGCGAGGTCGTCCCGTCCACGCGAACGAATGCAGAGGCCACCTCGCTCTCTCCGTCGTACGGTCGCAATAATTCATCGTTTCGATTGCGACTTCTCGAATCTCAATCTTGATTTGAAGCTTTCGTGACTGCAGGAATCCATGCGCTTTGGTTCTGTCGGTAAAGTCACGTAGTTAGAAATAAAATCAATCACGACGTTTCGATCGCAAAGCAAGCGGCCGTCCTCTCGCTGGTTCAGCAGTAGAACTTCTGAACCACCAGAGAGTTAGCAGTTCTCGAATTTCGTTTTAAAATCTCGCGAACAAGGCCTCAAACGTTCGTTTTCGCGGCATCGCGCCGGACTCGACGGGCGAGCGCCAAGGGCGGTGCGACGGGCAACTGTTGCCGGCAACTTGGCCACTGCAGAGCCACCGTGACCACTTGGCACGACGGTGGCGACAGTGGAGTTTCAGCATGGGACCACCTCGAACTCTCAATGCGCTGAGAGTGGCATTTGAAGAAGGCCACTTGTGTTGTGGCCGAAACGTCGTGAGAATTTTATTGTGTTTTATTAATTTATTGTTTTATTCTCATTCTACGTGACTTTACCGAAAGAACCAAAGAAGATGAATCCTTGCAGTCACGAAAGCTTTAAATCGAAATTTAGTGGCATTGTCTTTGTGCTGTTCGCCTTTTGACGTTGTCCTCTGGTCTAACACTGTTAGTGAGTCTAGGCTCTAAAGAAAGCTGTCTCTGGTATGGACCCAATCAGTTTCAAGGACAATGCATCATCATATACTACCAGAGCACGGTGTTGTTTTGTTTGCATGTTCACCACACGTATATGTGGTTAATGCAGACACGATTCCTTGCTAAAGGTTTCTGTTTGGTGTTTTAACATCTTAACACAAACTGTTTCATTGACAGAAAGGGTAAAACCTATTCTTATAGAAAGTAGAGTTTGTTGCAAAGGTGTGTTCGACGAACGGCGATTGGTCCGGAAGGCAACCAACCGCTGGGATGTGCGTGACGCGGAATCTATAATTTTATTATTTTCATGTTGATGTATGTCCGTGCAACATTTCACAATTTGTCAAAAGCGAGGCGGTCGTTTTTATTTTTTGCTCTGGATTTGGCTGCCCGTTTCTTTGCCGTCGGCTTTCATATTTTGTTTTGATTTTGCGTCGTATTTGATGACCCCCCCACCACCACCCCAGGGTCACCCTTGCAAACAAAATCTCGACTCTGGACCCTGGCCTCATTTGACTTCTCGCCGCCTGGTTAAACATAACCAAAAAAACCAAATTGAACCTGACCTTGTGTTAGCCATGTGACTAGGCCCTCACTAGCTTTAGGGCGGCAGTCCATAGGGAAAATGCCCCGGTAGGCCGGTCCATTCCAAGGGCCGGTGGGCTGGTCTGTGTGGGGAAATTGCAAACGTAATCGGAGTAAAAAATATTCAAACACATTTTTAATTAAAATACTTTATTACCTCTAATGTGTACACTGCATTGCTTATTCACGCCCTCAGTTGGCATTAAGCCCCCCATATTCGCCAGCCCCAAAGATCCTTCCTCAACCTTTCGCTTTTTGGACCCTGCCCCAAATTTTGGGCCGATGAGACCGCACGGCAAAAAGAATCACGCGAACACGTGGTCACGTCGCAACGTCGAGCTGCTACGAGTGCCACACAGTTGGTCATCGCACAACGACAATTCAAAAGGATCTAAACAAAACATTCCCACAGCCCAGCAATTTTGGGCTGCGGTGTGTGTGCTTACAAACGCCAGGACCGATGCTTTTTGTTGTTTGGTCCCGGTCCGTCACACTGCACGTGACCACACCGTCTCGCGAACTCGTTTAGAAGTTCGTCGGTCCGCTTATCTACCGACGGGAGAAGCGGAGATTCAACGATTGCACCCGGATTTTTTTTATTTTTATTATATTTTTGGGGGGCCGTCCATAAATGACGTCACGCGATTTTGGATGATTTTTGAGCCCCCCCCTCCCCCCCATCGTCACACAGCGTCACAAAAAGTCAGACACCCCCCCTTCAAACATGACGTCACAGAGCTCTGACCCCCCCCCCCCCTTAAAAAGTGCTTCAAATTGCTATCTACTTTTGTTAATGTAGTATTTAATGTGGCGCTGCACTCTGATGTTGCAGGAGAAAACATTCATTAAAAAGTCTATTTAATTAAGTAGAACGTGTCGTCTATATTTATTTAAAATTGCGCATTTTGATGTGACGTCACATTTCTCAACCCCCCCCCCCACCCCTCGTCACACATCGTCACAAATGTCTGACCCCCCCACCCCCCCACCACCTAGGTGCGTGACGTCATTTACAGACGGCCCCGCTGGGAGCGTCTTTAATTCATCGCGATTGAAAACTGCAACCGTTGTTGGTGACAATGGCCATCAACCGACTCGCCTCAAAAGGTTACCCTCGTGGCCACTTGTGACGTCACAGGCTCCCTCTGAAAGTTGAGGGGCGGGGTAGTGTGGGGGGTGTGTCTCGGGAAAAACTCAATAATCGAACGAAATCTCGTTGCACAGTGAGTGGCGTGTCACTGAGAAGTGTTCTTAGAGTTAGCCAAACAATTATTGTGTCTATTGTCGAGAAGTTGCCAACAATTATCGCGTTGTATTTCAAGGATGGTTTAGAGTTCGGCGGATTAAGCGCATGAAGAAAGCAAAGGATGTGAGGTGGATTGTTATATTGATTATGGGATCACCTGTGGAGAAGAAGATACGATCAATACGATGGAAAGGTACCCTGTAGAGCAGAATAACCCTCAGCCTCAGCGAGGAGCTGAAGTGGATTGCAAAGTGTTCCGATGACACGAACTCGGGTTATTCTTTTAAATATATATAACCGTATGTGTGTGGATTATCAAGTTTTTCCATGACATTCCTTGAATTGTGGACGTGCACCGGCTCCGGAAAGGGCCTGGGGAAGAGTTCAGGTATCGCTCGGAACTAGCGAGCCGCGGGAAAGAGGAAAACTCAAAGCGACCTCTCCATCCCCTGTCAGGCAATGCCCTCAACTTGCCGGTCGCGATCTGCGGCTCTTCCTGCCATCCTTCCCAATCTCCTCATTCTTCAAAGACGTGGCCACTGGGCTCTTCCGCCTCCTGACGATCGGCAACATCGACACCGCCGTCAACATCACCACGGCCGCCATCGCCACCCTCGTGAAACTCCCGCGAGCCTTCGCGACTCACGCCCCCGTCTCTGGCGTCGATGCCATCGCTCGCTCCGGCGGCGGCGTCGTCGTCGTCGTCGTCACCATCGCCGGCGTCTCCGGTGACGCCGTGGCCTCGCGCGCCGCTTACGGGGCCTTCGTCGGCCTCCCGCCACGTGGCCGCGATGTCTTCCGCCGGAAGGGCGGCGGCGGCATGGGCCTCCCCGATCTCGGACCGCGCCGAAGCAATCACGGCGGTGACATCGACGGGGGTTCGCTGTCGCCGCTCTTCTTCCTTGTCTCCTCCGCCGTCTGCGTCTCCGTCTGCGTCTCCGTCGCTGTCTCCGTCTCCGCCGCCATCCGCAGCTGCCCGCTCCATGTCGCGCGGCTCTTCTGCAGCGTCAACGCTGCGTGCGATGACGTCACCTTCATCCACGCTGACGCTTTCCGGAACATCGACACTTTGTGTGATGACATCATCTTCACGTGCACTGATGCTTCCCGTGACATCGATGTTTTGTGTGATGACATCGTATTCATCCATTTCGGCGCTTCCCATGACATCGACACTTTGTTTGATGACATCATCTTCACGCGCACTGATGCTTCTCCTGACATCGATGCTTTGTGTGATGACATCATCTTCGCCCACGTCGACGCTTCCCGCGACATCGACGCTTCGTGCGATGACATCATCTTCGCCCACGTCGACGCTTCCCGCGACATCGACGCTTCGTGCGATGACATCATCTTCGCCCGCTTCTACGCTTGCCGCGACATCGACGCTTCGTGCGATGACATCATCTTCGCCCGCATCGACGCTTGCCGCGACATCGACGCTTCGTGCGATGACATCATCTTCGCCCGCATCTACGCTTGCCGCGACATTGATGCTTCGTGCGATGACATCATCTTCATCCACGTCGATACTTCCCGCAACATCGATGCTCTGCATGAAGGTGCCACCCTTGTTCTCAACATCAATGCCCTCGCCGGTGCCGCCCTCACGCTCTCCGCTTGCCACGTCACCCCCGCTCTCCGCCAGAAACTTCGACTCTTCAAGTGAACTCAGACCTCCATCGCCCTCCTCCTCCTCCTCCTCCTCCACGAATCCTTCGAAGTCTCCCCCGTCTTCCGCAAAGCCACCAGCATCTTTCGCTCTGACACCGCCGTCGTCATCATTACCACCGCCACCATCATCATCATCATCACCACCATCGCCCAAATCTCCGTCCGCCATCGCAGCCGCGTAACCATGGACGCTTTGAGCGATGATCTCGTCAAAAGCCGTGATTCCATCGCCGCACTCCTCTTCCCTCTCCCCCTCCCCCTCCTCCTCCTCCTCCAGCTCCAGCTCCCCAAGGCCACGAGCCGCCGCTGCGATGCCGGTGGCGACGGCGCCGTCCCACGGAGAGGCGGCTCGCCCGCCCACGGTGGCGCCGTCGTCTGCGCCCTCCTCCCCCGTGGTCGCCTCGCCCGGCGCGTCGGGCGGCTCGCAGCCTGGCGGCGGGCGGGGCGACGGCAACGACGCCAGCTTCACGTCGTCGTCAGAGCTGGAACGGAAGAACGGACGGACGGACGGACGGACGCGCGCGGGAGGAGTTCATGGCAAACGTTTTTTTTTTTTGGGGGGGGGGAGGGGATTCGATAAATATGAATGCGTCGTTAAATCCGCCACCGCTCGAACGCACGCAGCCAATCAGTAAGGTTTGTCACGTGAACAGATTAGTTAATTGCTTTCAGCACACACTAGCCGTGTGTCGGAGAGTAAACCCAAAAACGTTTGGAATTTCGAGTTCCGTGACGTTTCACTGCGTGATTACAACAACAAGTCAGCTTCGTCAGGCAACAGCCTGAATTGTGAAGATGCCCTTCCTGCTTCGGTCTTACATCGAGGGGGTCGTCGTCATCGTCCGTCGTCATCGTCATCATCGTGCGACGTCATCATCGTCGTCGTCAACGTCGTCATCATCATCGTGTGTCGTCATCGTCGACATCATCTGTCATCGTCCGTCGTCATCGTCGTCATCGTCCGTCGTTATGGTCATCATCGTGTGTCGTCATTGTCGTCATCGTCAGTCGTCATCGTCGTCATTGTCCGTCGTCATCGTCGTCATGGTCTTCATCGTGCGTCGTCATCGTCGTCATCTTCCGTCATCATCGTCCGTTGTCATCGTCATCATTGTGCGTCGTTATCGTCACCATTGTGTGTCGTCATCATCGTCATTGTCCGTCGTCATGGTCGTCATCATGCGTCGTCATCATCGTCCGTCGTCATCGTCATCATTGTGCGTCATCGTCATCATTGTGCGTCATCGTCATCATTGTGTGTCGTCATCGTCGTCATCGTCGTCATCGTGCGTCGTCATCATCGTCATCATCCGTCGTCATCGTCGTCATCGTCCGTCGTCATCGTCGTCATCATGTGTCGTCATTGTCGTCGTCGTGCGTCGTCATCGTCGTCCTCTTCCGTCATCATCGTCGTTGTCATTGACGGTCGAATTCCTCGTAGCCGTGGTCAGTCTTCTGGATTCGTTGCTCCCACCTCTTCGGTGTGTCGCTATGTCCATTGCGCGTCTTCTTCCGCGGCTGCAACTCAACTCGGTGTTTATTTGCGGCACGGGAAATCCCGTGTAGCCACTTACCCAGCTGGCTTCCGTGGTAACAACCCCGCAGCAGCCACGACAAACAACGGAGTTATTGTTGGGGTGGTGGTGGCGGAGAGGAGGAGCCCAGTCAGTAGTCAGCCCGGGAACCCGAGGCTTAGATTCGTTTTAATCGAAGTGTGCATGCGTGCATGTTAAACTTCTTTCGCGCCGTACGTAGCCAACCGTGCCAATCGTAGGTGCGGGGAACGGACAACGATATAGCCCACGGCACAGGCAATACAAGGCACGCGAGTGAATTGTTCCACAAGCCCCAGAGCTCAATTTCCGTGCGCCTCGCGTTGCTATTTGCAACCTGCGCCTTCCCCACCAATCATCCCCCCAAGCCGTGGCCGCGGCCGCCGCGTGTTATTATCATAAATCGACTGTGCAGGCATCACGGATCTATCTGCTTTAAATTCAACCGTTACAGCCCTGCCTGCGGCCACCACCACCCACCCCTCGGACCAGCCACCATTGGAGAAATCCGATGAGCTATGCGGCTCTTTGAAACTATAAACTGAACTTTGCTTTCGTTCATTCTACCAGGTAAGACTCGCTGAGCTGTGCAAATCTTTTTATATTTCAGAAGCGAAAATGATAGCTTAAGCAAGTGGCCGATCATCACGTGGACATTCATAGCAGCCAGATTACTCTGAACGCGTGATGTTCATTTTAATGTGGAGGGGGAAAAAAAAAACACGGGTCTCCCGACACACAAAGAAGTCCCAACGGTGAGTCCTCGCCCTGGTGAACCACAAACCAACCCCGGACGGGACAACTCACTCGCTGCGGGCGGCCGTGTCCGCGTCGCTCGAATGTGTGGCGACTCGCGGCTCTCCCCGCGGAGACCGCTTCGTGTAGAACTCTCCTGCATAGCGCTTCTCAGCCGCCTGGGCACACGACAAAAGGCAAAAGATTCCCCGTAAACAGACTGTTGGGGCAAGTGCTGTTAGCGAGCACTCTATGAAGGCCTGCACGGCACACGAGCGGGGTGGGTGGCCAGCACCGCGCCCGACCGCCTTTGTCTCCCCAGTGACGGTGTTTACGCACCGCACAGCAGGTGCTCTTCTGAGGCTGAGTCGAAAAATCAATGACCCCCCCGTGTAGCCTTAACAGACTGCTGGGGCAAGTGCTGTTAGCCAGTAACACATACACATGTGGCACGCGAGGGAGTGGGTGGCCAGCACCACCACACCCGCTCAGCCGCCTGTGTCTCCCAAGGGGCCATGTTTGCCACACACCGCAACAGGGAACTCATTTGATGCTGAGTCTACCTAGGGGATGCCCAAGGATCGGTTGAGATAACTGTCGCTGGTGTTGGGGGGGGGGGGGGGTGAGCAGGAATTGAACTCGGCGCGGGGTTTGTGGGCTCAGCGCACTGTATACGAGTCCAGGGCATCTGCAGGTACCACCCCGGCCGGGATCCCTTTCGGGGTTCCAATCCCCATCATGTGGACCGCTTTAGGCTTACGAACCGATCGAATGAGTCAGCGGCAAGCGGTGTGTTGTCGCGTTGTATTGTGTTGTCGCGTTGTGTTTTGTCACGGTGCCACGTTCTGTGTGTGTGTTATTTTTTTTATATCATCGTATGTGTATACGTGCGTTGAACATCTTTCGCACAAGTCCGTAGCCAACCGCGCTAATCAGAGGTGTGGGCGGAGTGGGGGACTACAACAAAGTAAACAACAACAACAAGCAGCTCGAACGAAATGAGTTTTCAATCGAGATCAGGGGTCGGTAACCGATATAACAAGAAGCGCCATTTCGGTAGTCACGTAGAAGGGAAATAATAAAATAATAAAAATAAACATAATAAAATTGAAATACATTTTATTTTATTACCGAAAGAACCAAGAAGATGAATCCCTGCTGTCACGAAAGCTTTAAATCGAAATTTAAGTGCCATTTTATTTCGAATTCGGTTTAAAATATATATAAACAACAGCGTCTCAATACTTCAAGATCCGCAATGCCACTGCGTGATGAATGCGATATGGTGGTGGGTCCTTGATAACTAACGTGCCACGAAGCAGCAGTTCTTAAAGAGCCACATGCGACCCCTTATCGAGACGACTTCAAAGTGCACAGCTCCAGTGGCTTCTAATATCGGAAAGGAAGAGCGTTCCAGACGGGCGCAGAAGCAGCGCATCTGAAAGCGCGCGACGCGGTGGCCGTGATAATGTTGTTGTGTTGTCGTGTTCAAGTTGTGCTATTGTTGTGTTGTTACGTCTCGCGTTGCTGTTGTGTTGTTGTTGTGCGTACGTACCGCGAAGGTGCGGTTGTTGTAGTAGCGATCCTCCAGCAGGGCACTCACCACCACGGGGTCGCTGCCCGTGTCTGTGGCACAAACGCTCACCCGCTCACTCACCCGCTCACTCACCGACTCACCTACCTACTCACTCACCCGCTCACTCACTCGCTCACGCACCTATTCATTAACCTAGTCACTCACCTGCTCACTCACCCGCTCACTCACCGACTCACCTACCTACTCACTCACCCGCTTACTCACCCGCTCCCTCACCGACTCACCTACCTACTCACTCACCCGCTCACTCACCAGATCACTCACCCACTGAATTACCTCCTCACACACTCACTCATTCACCTGCTCACTCACTTATCCACTCACTCACCAGCTCACTTAAATACTCACCGACTCTCCGCACCCGCACATCCACACAGCCATCCATTCGCTTGCTCATTATTAATATCAATAAGTCAATTATTCGTGGGGGCGGGGGGGGTTTCACGTGATCAATTACAACCCAACATTCGTTAATGAAGCCACGCCGTAAGGGAAATAAATGTTGGCTGTGAAACTCTCTCGGCCCGCTGTGTCTCGACACTGTGGCAGTGAACGGCCCCAGAAGGATTACAATCGTGCGAATACAGCCTGGGTTCACTTCAGGGCAAGTTGCACGGTGGTTTGAGACAACGCATTTCAAGATGTGTTAAATACGTGGATGACCATTGGTAAAAATCATCATCATCATCACCATCAGCACCACGACGTTCCATGGGCAGATAGCCAGTAGGTGTCCACTGCCACATTTCGTCATTTGTTTCCACTTTCAACGGTCTCGTAGTGACCACATCTTTCTGGCACCAAATCTCTTCCGATGTCGTCAAGCCACTCTCTGTGAGGTCTTCCTCTCTCTGCGGTTCCTTACAGTAATTAATCATGAACAAACATTTTTTGTTTACACTTGGACGCAGTATGTCGACTTTTAAACTTAGATTGAAGGCGCATTTCTTTAGAAGCGCTTCTTGTGTTTAATTTGATGTCTTTCCAGCGCGCTCCCCCGAATAGCTACGTACCCAATAGCTACGAACCCAATAGCTACGTACCCAATAGCTACGTACCGTGCCAAAAGAAGTCCAGCGCACATACGTACAAACTCAGACTGTAATTCAGATACTGTCGATAGGATCCGTCCACCCTTTCTCGATTTGAATGCGCAATTTCATTGAGTGACTCTGCGTTGTCTTGATATCGTCTGGCCGTAGAGGCGTCCCGAGGGTACACGGCGAATCGAGGCGACTGCCCTGGGCCCCACGCTTTTTCAGACCCCCACCTACGGACGGCCCTGGGTTTTTGTTGTTGTTGTTGTTGTTGTTTTGCTGCCTTGCCCCAAGCTTGCATTTTGTGTTGACAAATCTGCAGGAATGCTTGTACCCATGCAATTCGCACGTACTACATCTTAACTTGTTTTTTTATTACTTGCTTACATTTTCTCTTTTTGTTGCGCACCCAATCGTGTTTTTGTTTATTTGTTCCACATTGTTTGTTGTTGTAACTCGCTGGCCCGCTCCTGCTGGACATCTGTGAAAAAAAATAGCTTCATATCTCGTCCTGAGTACGCCTCCTGCAGTCTAAATAAAGACGCTGGTTATTTCCCATCAACCAGGCCAGATGGCTGGGTGCGTGGAGCAAGCAGACCGCAATCGGAAAGACGCGGGTTCCAACACCCCGTTGCCTTCACAAACTCTAGCCCTCGGAGCTATTCAAGAGAGATCATTAAGTGCATTTTGTTTTGTTTTTGTCATGATTTCATTTTTAAAAAAAAATTATTTACCAGGTGAGACCCCCCCCCCCTCCCCACTGAGCTCCGTAGCTATTTTTCAGAGGCGACCTGGCCACAACTGAAAGCTCAACGTAAGAGGCTTACCATCGCGTGGACATGTACAGCAGCAGAATACTCTCAACGCGCTTTAATATTTGATTCTAAATGTGGAGGTAGAAACAGGTAGGGCCCGGAGAAAAATCCACGCGACCACGGGGGGAGAGAGAGAGAGAGAGACACCCACACTCCAAATAGACAGCAGCAGCAGGCGTCAGGATCGAACGCCACGACCTCCTGCACACCAACCGAGGGTGTTGATACCCATTGTGCGCGTGCGCCTATTGGTGACCGGGCCGAGGCCATCGATCTCATTTCATTTACGGGAGAGGTTTATTAATGGGCGATTGCCTTGGTGGAAACCAAACAACAACAAATCCCTACTCCACAGGATTCGCCGTAGCTCTGCCGGGCTGATTGATAATCCCCGCCACTCACTGATCCACCGCAGCCAGTCAACCTCCTGATCACTCCTCTGCCTGCGGAGGTGCCCTGCAGCACCCCACGATGCACTCGGAAAGATTTGGCGATGGCGACAGCAGAAGCGGTGGTCTGTGCAGAAGATTGGGCAAAGACTCTAAAGGTTGGAGAGGAGAGAAGAAGGAGATTTCCACGACCTCCGCGTGACACCCCAATGCATGTCTGGAGCTGATTAAAAAGAAACAATCTAATTTCTGGAATGATTAAGTCTATCCCTCTGACCGATACAATGAGAGTCGAAATCATTCAGCAAATCCTGTCATCATGCGAAATCACTAGGCAGACGTAACCCGCTATCATGACGTACAGTGATGGAAAAAAGTATTTGATCTCCTGCTGATTTTGTACGTTTGCCCACTGACAAAGAAATGATCAGTCTATAATTTTAATGATAGGTTTATTTGAACACTGAGAGACAGAATAACAACAAAATCCAGAAAAAACGCATGTCAAAAATGTTATAAATTGATTTGTATTTTAATGAGGGAAATAAGTATTTGACCCCTCTGCAAAACATGACTTAGTACTTAGTGGCAAAACCCTTGTTGGCAATCACAGAGGTCAGACGTTTTTTGTAGTTGGCCACCTGGTTTGCACACACCTCAGGAGGGATTTTGTCCCACTCCTCTTTGCAGATCTTCTCCAAGTCATTAAGGTTTCGAGGCTGACGTTTGGCAACTCGAACGTTCAGCTTCCTCCACAGATTTTCTATGGGATTAAGGTCTGGAGACTGGCTAGGCCACTCCAGGACCTTAATGTGCTTCTTCTTGAGCCACTCCTTTGTTGCCTTGGCCATGTGTTTTGGGTCATTGTCATGCTGGAATACCCATCCACGACCCATTTTCAATGCCCTGGCTGAGGGAAGGAGGTTCTCACCCAATATTTGACGGTACATGGCTCTGTCCATCGTCCCTTTGATGCGGTGAAGTTGTCCTGTCCCCTTAGCAGAAAAACACCCCCAAAGCATAATGTTTCCACCTCCATGTGAGGATGGTGTTCTCGGGGTCATAGGCAGTATTCCTCCTCCTCCAAACACGGCGAGTTGAGTTGATACCAAAGAGCTCCATTTTGGTCTCATCTGACCACAACACTTTCACCCAGTTGTCCTCTGAATCATTCAGATGTTCATTGGAAAACTTCAGACGGGCATGTATATGTGCTTTCTTGAGCAGGGGGACCTTGCGGGCACTGCAGGATTTCAGTCCTTCACGGCGTAGTGTGTTACCAATTGTTTTCTTGGTGACTATGGTCCCAGCTGCCTTGAGATCATTGGCAAGATCCTCCCGTGTAGTTCTGGGCTGATTCCTCACCGTTCTCATGATCATTGCAACTCCACGAGGTGAGATCTTGCATGGAGCCCCAGGCCGAGGGAGATTGACAGAGATTGACAGTTCTTTTGTGTTTTTTCCATTTGCGAATAATCGCACTAACTTGTCACCTTCTCACCAAGCTGCTTGGCAATGGTCTTGTAGCCCATTCCAGCATTGTCTAGGTCTACAATCTTGTCCCTGACATCCTTGGAGAGCTCTTTGGTCTTGGCCATGGTGGAGAGTTTGGAATCTGATTGATTGATTGATTGCTTTTGTGGACAGGTGTCTTTTATACAGGTAACAAGCTGAGATTAGGAGCACTCCCTTTAAGCGTGTGCTCCTAATCTCAGCTCGTTACCTATATAAAAGACACCTGGGAGCCAGAAATTTTCTGATTGAGAGGGGGTCAAATACTAATTTCCCTCATTAAAATGCAAATCAACTTATAGCATTTTTAGCATGCGTTTTTTCTGGATTTTCTTGCTGTTATTCTGTCTCTCACTGTTCAAATAAACCTACCATTAAAATTATAGACTGATCATTTCTTTGTCAGTGGGCAAACGTACAAAATCAGCAGGGGATCAAATACTTTTTTCTCTCACTGTATCTAACATCTTCTCTGACATCAACTCCAACATCAACTCTAAAATCAACTCTCACATAAACTCTAACATCACAACTCCTTGCATTGTGCCTGCTACACCCACATTTGTGAATGCCCATTAAAAAAAGCCATTCCGTTCATGGAGGTTTGAGAATTGCCATTTTTTTGAAAGATTGCTCATTTGAAAGAGGAAATGCAATTGTAATTCATGCTATGTTTGAAATTGCATTTTAAATGCCCTTCGGGAGTTTCTATTGCGAGTGTCATGCATAATGTGGTTATTTTGCATTTTCCAGCTAGATTTTCACTGTACATAGCTCTAGTTGTTTATTAGTCACGTTCATTACATTTCCCTGCTTTGGTTTATGCAGCCCCTGTATCTCTCCCTCCCCATGCAACATGCTGGCTACCATCATACCAACCGTGCTATGAAGCCCCAGTAATCTCTCCCTCCCCATGTCACGTGCTGGCTACCATCATACCAGCCGTGCTATGAAGCCCCTGTAATCTCTCCCTCCCCACGTCACGTGCTGGCTACCATCATACCAACCGTGCTATGAAGCCCCAGTAATCTCTCCCTCCCCATGCAACGTGCTGGCTACCATCATACCAGCCATGCAATGAAGCCCCAGTAATCTCTCCCTCCCCATGTCACGTGCTGGCTACCATCATACCAACCGTGCTATGAAGCCCCTGTAATCTCTCCCTCCCCACGTCACGTGCTGGCTACCATCATACCAACCGTGCTATGAAGCCCCAGTAATCTCTCCCTCCCCACGTCACGTGCTGGCTACCATCATACCAACCGTGCTATGAAGC